ATGTAATTGATTATCTTGGTTAACCATCTATTAAATACTAATGCTTTATTCAATGCTTATATTTGGTTTAGTATATTTCTACTGGGCTGTGGCTCACCCTTATGGGAACATCATTTTCAGGTCCAGGTGATAAGCTACCTCCCAGGACTTAGCTTGGAAGGATTTGGATTTTGAATTGGATTTTGAAGACTAGCTTTAGTTGTTTGCTTTTATTTGATGAATAATCAAGCCTAGGGCTTTATTTGTATTTGAGTTTGAACTCATATTTTGTGTCCAAGTGATGGCTTGGAAAGATGTAAGCCCATAGGGCATTTAATTTGATGTTACATGTAATGTTTTTATTTAGTAATACTCTGGTGAATGAATAAATTGTTTTCTTTGAATAATGCATGTCAATGATATACATATAATGGGTTTATTTTGAGGGCGTTACAGGTTGGGTGTTGAAAAAGCAAAATGTAGTACATATGGGGATTCTTATTTGTCATTTGATCAATTACGGTGGTATTTTGATGAGGCATTGAAGAACAATCCAGGTAGTCGTTTTGAGTTAGACTTTGAAGATAACAAGCATTTCAAAAGAGTGTTTGTGGCTTTTCATGCATGCATTGCTGGTTTCAAATATTGTCGGGCATTGCTGATTTGTATTGAATGTGAAATCAGATTTGTATTGAATGTGAAATCAGATTTGTATTGAATGTGAAATCAGATTTGTATTGAATGTGAAATCAGATTTGTATTGAATGTGAAATCAGATTTGTATTGAATGTGAAATCAGATTTGTATTGAATGTGAAATCAGATTTGTATTGAATGTGAAATCAGATTTGTATTGAATGTGAAATCAGATTTGTATTGAATGTGAAATCAGATTTGTATTGAATGTGAAATCAGATTTGTATTGAATGTGAAATCAGATTTGTATTGAATGTGAAATCAGATTTGTATTGAATGTGAAATCAGATTTGTATTGAATGTGAAATCAGATTTGTATTGAATGTGAAATCAGATTTGTATTGAATGTGAAATCAGATTTGTATTGAATGTGAAATCAGATTTGTATTGAATGTGAAATCAGATTTGTATTGAATGTGAAATCAGATTTGTATTGAATGTGAAATCAGATTTGTATTGAATGTGAAATCAGATTTGTATTGAATGTGAAATCAGATTTGTATTGAATGTGAAATCAGATTTGTATTGAATGTGAAATCAGATTTGTATTGAATGTGAAATCAGATTTGTATTGAATGTGAAATCAGATTTGTATTGAATGTGAAATCAGATTTGTATTGAATGTGAAATCAGATTTGTATTGAATGTGAAATCAGATTTGTATTGAATGTGAAATCAGATTTGTATTGAATGTGAAATCAGATTTGTATTGAATGTGAAATCAGATTTGTATTGAATGTGAAATCAGATTTGTATTGAATGTGAAATCAGATTTGTATTGAATGTGAAATCAGATTTGTATTGAATGTGAAATCAGATTTGTATTGAATGTGAAATCAGATTTGTATTGAATGTGAAATCAGATTTGTATTGAATGTGAAATCAGATTTGTATTGAATGTGAAATCAGATTTGTATTGAATGTGAAATCAGATTTGTATTGAATGTGAAATCAGATTTGTATTGAATGTGAAATCAGATTTGTATTGAATGTGAAATCAGATTTGTATTGAATGTGAAATCAGATTTGTATTGAATGTGAAATCAGATTTGTATTGAATGTGAAATCAGATTTGTATTGAATGTGAAATCAGATTTGTATTGAATGTGAAATCAGATTTGTATTGAATGTGAAATCAGATTTGTATTGAATGTGAAATCAGATTTGTATTGAATGTGAAATCAGATTTGTATTGAATGTGAAATCAGATTTGTATTGAATGTGAAATCAGATTTGTATTGAATGTGAAATCAGATTTGTATTGAATGTGAAATCAGATTTGTATTGAATGTGAAATCAGATTTGTATTGAATGTGAAATCAGATTTGTATTGAATGTGAAATCAGATTTGTATTGAATGTGAAATCAGATTTGTATTGAATGTGAAATCAGATTTGTATTGAATGTGAAATCAGATTTGTATTGAATGTGAAATCAGATTTGTATTGAATGTGAAATCAGATTTGTATTGAATGTGAAATCAGATTTGTATTGAATGTGAAATCAGATTTGTATTGAATGTGAAATCAGATTTGTATTGAATGTGAAATCAGATTTGTATTGAATGTGAAATCAGATTTGTATTGAATGTGAAATCAGATTTGTATTGAATGTGAAATCAGATTTGTATTGAATGTGAAATCAGATTTGTATTGAATGTGAAATCAGATTTGTATTGAATGTGAAATCAGATTTGTATTGAATGTGAAATCAGATTTGTATTGAATGTGAAATCAGATTTGTATTGAATGTGAAATCAGATTTGTATTGAATGTGAAATCAGATTTGTATTGAATGTGAAATCAGATTTGTATTGAATGTGAAATCAGATTTGTATTGAATGTGAAATCAGATTTGTATTGAATGTGAAATCAGATTTGTATTGAATGTGAAATCAGATTTGTATTGAATGTGAAATCAGATTTGTATTGAATGTGAAATCAGATTTGTATTGAATGTGAAATCAGATTTGTATTGAATGTGAAATCAGATTTGTATTGAATGTGAAATCAGATTTGTATTGAATGTGAAATCAGATTTGTATTGAATGTGAAATCAGATTTGTATTGAATGTGAAATCAGATTTGTATTGAATGTGAAATCAGATTTGTATTGAATGTGAAATCAGATTTGTATTGAATGTGAAATCAGATTTGTATTGAATGTGAAATCAGATTTGTATTGAATGTGAAATCAGATTTGTATTGAATGTGAAATCAGATTTGTATTGAATGTGAAATCAGATTTGTATTGAATGTGAAATCAGATTTGTATTGAATGTGAAATCAGATTTGTATTGAATGTGAAATCAGATTTGTATTGAATGTGAAATCAGATTTGTATTGAATGTGAAATCAGATTTGTATTGAATGTGAAATCAGATTTGTATTGAATGTGAAATCAGATTTGTATTGAATGTGAAATCAGATTTGTATTGAATGTGAAATCAGATTTGTATTGAATGTGAAATCAGATTTGTATTGAATGTGAAATCAGATTTGTATTGAATGTGAAATCAGATTTGTATTGAATGTGAAATCAGATTTGTATTGAATGTGAAATCAGATTTGTATTGAATGTGAAATCAGATTTGTATTGAATGTGAAATCAGATTTGTATTGAATGTGAAATCAGATTTGTATTGAATGTGAAATCAGATTTGTATTGAATGTGAAATCAGATTTGTATTGAATGTGAAATCAGATTTGTATTGAATGTGAAATCAGATTTGTATTGAATGTGAAATCAGATTTGTATTGAATGTGAAATCAGATTTGTATTGAATGTGAAATCAGATTTGTATTGAATGTGAAATCAGATTTGTATTGAATGTGAAATCAGATTTGTATTGAATGTGAAATCAGATTTGTATTGAATGTGAAATCAGATTTGTATTGAATGTGAAATCAGATTTGTATTGAATGTGAAATCAGATTTGTATTGAATGTGAAATCAGATTTGTATTGAATGTGAAATCAGATTTGTATTGAATGTGAAATCAGATTTGTATTGAATGTGAAATCAGATTTGTATTGAATGTGAAATCAGATTTGTATTGAATGTGAAATCAGATTTGTATTGAATGTGAAATCAGATTTGTATTGAATGTGAAATCAGATTTGTATTGAATGTGAAATCAGATTTGTATTGAATGTGAAATCAGATTTGTATTGAATGTGAAATCAGATTTGTATTGAATGTGAAATCAGATTTGTATTGAATGTGAAATCAGATTTGTATTGAATGTGAAATCAGATTTGTATTGAATGTGAAATCAGATTTGTATTGAATGTGAAATCAGATTTGTATTGAATGTGAAATCAGATTTGTATTGAATGTGAAATCAGATTTGTATTGAATGTGAAATCAGATTTGTATTGAATGTGAAATCAGATTTGTATTGAATGTGAAATCAGATTTGTATTGAATGTGAAATCAGATTTGTATTGAATGTGAAATCAGATTTGTATTGAATGTGAAATCAGATTTGTATTGAATGTGAAATCAGATTTGTATTGAATGTGAAATCAGATTTGTATTGAATGTGAAATCAGATTTGTATTGAATGTGAAATCAGATTTGTATTGAATGTGAAATCAGATTTGTATTGAATGTGAAATCAGATTTGTATTGAATGTGAAATCAGATTTGTATTGAATGTGAAATCAGATTTGTATTGAATGTGAAATCAGATTTGTATTGAATGTGAAATCAGATTTGTATTGAATGTGAAATCAGATTTGTATTGAATGTGAAATCAGATTTGTATTGAATGTGAAATCAGATTTGTA